TCCCCCTTGCGCGGAGTGAGGGTTCTCCACCCCGCACAAAATGATCTACTCGACCACCATTATGTTACCGCCAAAAAAAAAACCAGAGGTAAAAAAAAAACAAACCGGTAACCTGGTTGCCGAGTTCACGAAGTGAATTGGCTTGTTTTACAACGTCGTTGCCAAGCGACGAAAACCCAACCCCGATAGCAAACACCGGGGGGGCGGGGGCGGGGTGAGAATGGTTTGACCGACAATGCTGAAATATGGCGCTGGTAGTGTTTCGCGAATGGCTCGCCTTTCGCTCTTGCACTTTACTCCAAGCCCGTTTTTCCGAGCATGTGCGCAAGGTTTTGTGACAAGACCCGAAGAGCTAGAAACCACGCGGTTCACCTCAATTTACCCAGGCGCGGGCACTCCTAGTGCAATCAGGGCCTTCTTGGTGGCCGAAAACCCGACTGACGTTCTTGGTGCGATCAGCTTCGCAGCATTCCACGGCTGCTCGAGAATTTTAGAAAGGTGCAGCTGTCATGATTCTGCAAGAGGTGCGCACGGTGTTGATCATCCCCCTTGTTCGCGTACCTCGCCATATCCTCACAGACGAGGGAAAACACCTTTCTTTGAGCCACCCATCGCGAAGAAGGAAATAATGATTGGCCATCTGTGATCGGTCCTGACCGCGGGAATGAAGCTCCGTCCTCTCGAGGACGTTTGGTCAATGGTCTAACCGCTGAGGCATGCTGTGAACATGAGTATGCCTCCCGACTCCCTTGAAACACCTTTTTTCAGGTCTAAGGTTGTCGCTACGGCATACCCCGACCGAAGGGATGGGGTGCAGACGCCGGCGCACACCCTAGGGGACGACTCTCTGCTGATCAAGTACATCAACCCCAGGCTGTTCGCCTTCGCCACCCTCTCCCCAGAGGAAGCGGAGTCGGAAGAGTGGGCTGGGGACGACGCGGGGCAGTTGAACGGCAAAGGCCAGGAGCTCACGGTAGGTCTGAGGTTGTGAAGCATGCGCGGCAAACATGATTATGTAAAGATATTGTATAGGGTGTTCGATCAGTTTCATTATCTTTCGTGTTTTTGTAGGGCATGTTCAAGAAGTCTGCCGCTGTTGCAGTGCTTGCATGTGTTTGTGCGCGTGTTGTGGGTTTTTGTTGGCGGAAGACAAGATATCGGCATAGCTGACAGCTTGCGGCGTGTGCAACCCTAACCAATGGAAAGATGCGTCTTAAATATTACGGGTTGTTACCCCTGGGGAACAGGGGTCATTGACCTGCAAATGACCACCGGGGTGGGCACTGGATGGTTGCGGGTGTGCGCTGAATAATGGTGTGTCCCTTTTACGAAGATTCATGTTGTTGTTTGCTTCGCACAATCCTGTGTGCTGAGCGGCCGTGCTTAGTGGCGGCAGCCCTACACCTCCATTCATGCTGTTTCTTCTCGATACTCTGTCTTTTTCGCTAACCGAATGGCGGCTTCGTCTCTTGCAGGTGACCCTGGTGGACTACGTCTCTGGTCGAGTGCTTCACCGCATCTCCCACAAGGTGACCGCGTTACCGAGGGGGAACGATGTACTGACGCGTTCGAAGAAACATGTCGGCCGAACTCGAATCAATCGTCCAGAACTCCTCCGGGTCTGTCCAGATTTGGTTTGCTTTTGTTCTGACGGCCAACGGTATCCATCGCCTAGTTTTTACTCGTATGTTTTTTGGTCACGAACCGTGGTGTCTGACACGTAAACCGTTTTGCCGCATCAACCATGAAGTACCTCTGGTATGTGTTATGTGCAATATGACTTTGGCACGATACTTTGTTCTCTTGTGTTGGGCCGAAATGATGTGGTGTCTCCCCCCGCCTTTCGTGTTTTTCATTCCAGTGTCTGCCTGACAACCGACGCCTCCGTCGTTGGTCGTCGGTTGCCTGTATCGGTTCCCATCCCCATGTGTCCATTGACCCGAAATTTAAGACGCGTTCCGCTTGCGTACGCGCAGGGCGCGGCCGAGCCAGTGCACATGCAGGTTTCCGAGTCTTGGGTGGTGTACTCATACTGGAGCGCGGCGTCTCACCGCACCGAGATGTCAACCCTGAGTCTGTACGAAGGGATGATTGACAAGTACGGCCTGAGCCCTTTCAACAGGGTAAGCTTGGGGATGCTGTCCGTGGCGCGTGCGTTGGGTGTGGTCAAGAGTGAGAGAAGCGGAAGGAATTGCTCAAGTCAGGAACGATGTGGGGCGGTTGTTGGTGTGCCCACCCTTCCGTTTCGTGCTCGAAGTTCTCACGCCACTTGTGGCTGGGACTCACGGCGACCTTGTCTTGAGTGACGTGTCGCTGGTGTGAGTTAACACCGCATGGCGCATCGCCAAGCGGAGAGCATCGAATCCCTGTGCCAATTGTGTCATACTTGGCCTGTCTGAAAAAGACCTTCTCCTTCGGTGTCTGACGAGATCAGATCCTTGCGTTGGTCCTCCTGTCGACGACGACGCCAAAGGTCTTCATTCCTAACCCATTTGCACACAACCGCGTGACGACCTTAACCCTCCTTCTATTCCCAACGGCTTCGTGGCCGCAGCCGGAGTGGAAGGAGGAATTCTCGTCGTTCGAGTCGAGAGTGCCGATCGTGCTCCAGAAGACGTTCATCTTCCCACTGCCGGTGACCGCCTTGGGTATTACCCTTACTCAGTACGGCATTACCTCGAAGAACATTCTCGTCGGGACGGCAGTCGGTCAGGTGCGCTCACTGCCTGCGAAAAGATCGAATGGAAAGTATGCATGCCGCTTCCTCGTGTGCTGCGGGTGCGGGTTGAGGCGAACGACTTTAAGGACACGTGTTTGATGTGGATGATCCTGCCTGGCTTGCTGCCTCTGTGCAAGGGATAAGGGAGGTATGGCCCTCGCGAGATTCTGAGTTATTTGAAAGCGCGCGGTCAACTACGGGGAGGTTCTTGAATGACGACGGCGTTGCTTCTTGGTCAAGCGATATTTTGTCCCCCTCTTTTTTTTTTTTTTGCGCATCCTGTCAGACTGCGTGTTCCGCCCCTTGTGCAGCAGCCACTAACAACCGTCGCAAGACTCTCGTGCCTCGTGCATCGCTGCCAACAGGACCAATTTTTTGTTTTGCTTTCCATTTTGTTGTTTCGTTCTTGACAAGGTGGTGTCACTGGACCGGAGATTTTTGGATCCGAGGAGGCCCCAAGAAGAGCCGACCAAGACGGAAAAGGAAGAGAAGCTTATCCAGTACCAGCCATACCTCCCCGTGGTCCCAACCCAGGTCCTTTCCTACCACAAGGTGCGGGGGGGGCGGGTGTACTCATAGTCGTGCATGCCGTAGTCGTTAGACCATTGACCTCGCATCCCTACAAAGCCGGGATGCAGCACGCCGGGTTCTCACCGGACAAGGCTCTCACATCACCAAGCGCGAAGCGCCGTGAGATATTCGGCGAGTCGCATGAAGGGTGCGCTGCATCCTGCTAAGGGTGTTCGGCATCTTGTGCTTACTTCCTTGCGTACGGATGACAGCTGCGTATGACTTAGTTTATTTTCTGATGGTTTCACTTCTTGAGACAGTGGTAAGCACTATGTAACTGCCTCGAGGGCGCTTGACCATTTTGACACAACGTGATGAGCTCATCCCCCTTGCGCGGAGAAAGGGTTCTCGACCTCGCACAACATGATCTACTCGACCGCCATTATGGTTACCGCCAAAAAAATAAACCAGAGGTAAAAAAAAAAACGTTAACCTGGTTGCCGAGTTCACGAAGTGAATTGGCTTGTTT